AGAAAACCAGCAACATTGTACATGGATGATACAACATGATAATCAACTTTATAATTCCATAAACGGCGATTAATATTGACAAAATTAGTTACAGAACCATCCTTATCAGCCATGGCAGTCGAATAAAAAAAAACGTGCTTTGATGTAGTGTTTTTATTCGCAATTGTAATTTCATAATATTTATTCTTCTTGCCCAATGCGTATTTGCCTTTGTTACTAGAACAAGATAAACAATATGAGTCAGGATCATATAACAAAAACTAACTCAGAATCAATGGCTAAAACAAAAAACTTGTTAATATGATCTCTAGCGGGTGCTGAAGCGTGAAATCACATCCTCTTACATTTATAAATTTATGACACATAGTCAGAGCTTCCAAAATAAATTATTTTAAAAATCGTCTAACAAATGAATAAATCAAAATTACTATTATTTTTGTGGGTGTGGGTGTGGGTGTGGGTGGGGTGTGGGTGTGGGTGAGTGTGGGTGTGGGTGAGTGTGGGTATCGGTGGGCGTGGGTGGATGGTTGTGGTTGTGGGTGTCAGTGTCAGTGTGTATGCTTAAGAAAAAAGCACCACCCACATCACACCCACACCGACATCACACACCCACACCCAAACCCATACCACACACCCATACCCACATCCACACCCACACCCACACCCACACCTACACCCACACCCCAGTGAGTTGCTTCTCAAAAAGAAATTGCTTCTGTCTACTTATGCTAATTTTTTCGGTGATGGAAAAAACGGCCTTGATTAACGTGCGAACAATCGACTGTTAATAATAAGTATAACAATATATCCATAGACAATTATTCTATACGTTATTCGAAAAACGGCTACCATAGAATAAGTCCTAAATATAGAGACATATTAAAGTGCGCTTCCTTTTCCTTCTCATTAGTATTTGTTACTAAGTGGTAAGTTTGATTATCATTTTATTATCATCTGCTTGCGCTCACTTGCACTGAAAGCTTTTTTTGCAGTACTCCCTGGATTTTGCTAAAAGTTTAGTTGTTATTCGAAATTTAGTTTTCAAAGCTTGCTCATCCATTTCTCCATTATCAGTCCAATCAAGACTATTTATTATATGCATAGCTTAGAGTAAACTTCTTTTTGTATAATATGCTTTTACCATTAAAAAATTTGGCTAATCAGTCGTGCCAAGTAACACGAAAAGCCTAAAAGGCAAACTAGTAGTGTTAAGTAACTTAGGTTATCCAACACGCCAACTGACTAACAAGGAAACCTCCCTAGGTGTTCCCATCCGATTTCAATGAGTTTTTGTCTACAGATACTAGACTGTGGGTGTGATGGTGTGGATGTGAGTATGAGTGTGGGTCTTGTTCTTACCCACAATCCATACCCACCCACACCCACCCACACCCACCCACACCCACCCACACCCCACACCCATCCACATCCCACACCCACACCCACACCCACACCCACACCCTTTCCAGCCGGAATACTGCCATCTTGTTCCGGCGACTTCCGATATTTTCCTGTCGGAAACCGCTCGTACTTCTCAACCTGGACATAAGATATTGTCATGATCATAGTGTTCCCATTACATTAGAGGGTAGATAAAAGAGAATGAACAAAAAGTTTAAGTTTCAGTAGTATTACTGATATCTCAGTCTAACGTTGATCATGTATATAATTCTGCACTATCCAAAAAGTAACTATTCCAGAATCCACCAACAACTAAGACTTTTCCATTGCTTAGAGTGGATGCTGTGTGTGAGTATCTGGCAATACTCATGTTGGCAGTCGTTGTCCAAAGTCCTGTGGATGGATCGTACAGTTCTGCGCTCGTCGAATAGCCATGATAAGTAAGCCCACCAGTAACTAAGACTTTTCCATTAGTTAGTATCGTCGCCCTGTGAGAAAACCGTGCAACATTCAAGCTACCAGTCGTAGTCCAAAATCCTGTTGATGAATCGTACAATTCTGCACTATTTATATAGTTCCCACGACCCTGTCCGCTAGCAACTAAGACTTTTCCATTGGTTAGTACGGATGCTGTATGATCATTTCTTGGAAAACTCATGTTGCCAGTCATAGTCCAAACTCCTGTTGATGGATCGTACAGTTCTGCACTATTTAAATCGAAACTAAAGCCATATCCACCAGCAACCAAGACTTTGCCATTAGTTAGTACCGATTGCGTGTGAAGGAACCGTTCAACATTCATGTTACCAGTCCTGGTCCAACGTCCTGTGGATGGATCATACAATTCTGCACTATTCAACCAGCCATTGACATCAAATCCACCAGCAACTAAGACTTTTCCGTTAGTAAGTACAGATGCTGTGTGTGAATGTCGTCCAAAACTCATCCTGCCAGTCTGTGTCCAAAGCCCTGTAGATGCATCGTACAGTTCTGCACTATCCACAGGCCTACTACCATTGTCTCCACCAACAATCAAGACTTTTCCATTGGTTAGCACGGATGCTGTGTGACCGGATCGTATAACATTTATGTTACCAGTTATTGTCCAAAGTTCTGTTGATGGATCGTACAGTTCTGCACTAGTCGCATAGCCACTATTACCAAATCCACCAGCTACTAAGACTTTTCCATTGCTTAGTATGGATGCTGTGTGTCCGTCTCGTGAAAAACTCATACTGCTGGTATTCAACCATCCTACAAGAGTATTGCAATCTAGCAGTTTTGAGATTTACATATAGAAGCTTTTTATCAGCTTTCTATGAAATCAATCTTGTTTTAGGTAACTGTTTAATACTCGTAAGATGGGTGGATGAAGTGTGTTTGGATGTGGTTAGACATCAGGTACACCATCACCCAATTCCACATCCACATCCTGGTTTGTATACTTCTTAATACATTTCTTCATCAAATGAAAAGAAATCGGCGTATAGTCACACGTAATCAAAAGGAGAAACAGTAAAGTGCAAAAGTTTTTGACCTTTGTGTAAACCCATTTTCTGAGAGCATATCTCACGCATTTTTCGGAGAAATTTATCGAGAACTTTCTAGGTTGTGAGGAAAGGTCCATATATAGCCGTGGATAGCTCAGATCCTCATCGATATTCTTCGATTAGGAGAAAATACATCGACAACAAGATGCAACTTCGTTGAAAACGAGATGTTCAACTAATTTTCACTATTGGAACAACAGACATCGATCTTCTCTCACAATCGTTTGCGTGACAAAGATTACCCTTCAGACTGTCAAATACAATGTTGAAATGATCAAATAACAATATAATATTGAGAATGGATCTCACAGTGGTCGATCTTCCAAAGTCAGTGCCGATAATGAAAGGTACTCGAAAAATGAATACGATCAAAAAGTGAGACAACGTCAGAAGAACTAGAGAAAAACTACTGCAAAATCGAGGTAAACATGTTTGCCAATGTATGGTACAGTGCCAGCTCAAATGAATGGTTTCCAAGCTTACTTTACTCAATGCAATGACGATACTCACACAATGGTGTAAATATGCACGCATTTAGTGAGCAATAAAACACAGGGACGAATATAACAGCCGAACAATATTCACGGATAAGACATGTGACTCAAGTGCTAAAGACATGGTTCCTCGATGGTCAGAAAAATTCACAAGACGAAGGTAAGCGAATTGTTAAGTATAAACAGAAAATCATACTGTGAGCAACTTCAGTATCAAGGGTCCGGTTGGCTATCATTCATTCAAGAGTATTATGGATGAACCTTACTACATTCAAATTCCTAAAGTTCATTTTCTCTGCTATGTCTGAAAGTAGTGCAGTCGACGTCGTAGACTCTAACAAGGTAATGATCTCAAAAATAGAAGTCAAAAGACAGAATAGATTCTATGCAAAGAAGTGCCACAAATTATTAGCTGGCCTTCAGTTGTTCCGATGTTAATGTAGTCAAGAGCCTCTGATGGGTCATCAAAGTTGTATGTAGAAGCGGAAACCATAAAATTTGGATGAACTGAAACGAATTTTGCACAAGGAATGAGACCAAATCAATTGGATCACTCTAAATCATTTGATCAAATCGATGGAAGCATGGTTTCAAGCTGCAATCAAAGCGAAGGAAGACAGAGTCAACTATCAATTGTGATACTTTTGCGCCTTGTAACGTGCCTTATCTATCTATATATATATATTTGCTTTTTATATTCATCATTTTAACCTTGCGAAACACTTGAAACACTGAGGTCAAAAATCTTTGCACATTAATGTATATGTACCATGTAGAACGAAACTCAATCATCAAAATGTTTAGTCAAAGTTAGTCGGATGAAAAGTTAATTGAGAATTGTAAATGATAGAATATTTGCTTTCCAAATCATTTTTGTTCGCTATTAAATCCGTCAATACCTGCACCATCAAAATTTCCTTGATAGAAGTTTGTTAAACCAATTTTTCTAGTTAGAAAGAATCTACTCACATTAATCGGGTGCGTTAGAATAGGAATCGTGTTTAGTAAAATTTAAGTCTGAATGAATTTGACTTGAATGAATAAAACTTGTCCAGTGATCTGTCTCGGATCAATTCACATATCAGCTAAAAACCTCAACTTGGTTTAGAAATTATTCTTCGTCTCATGTCGTACTTTGATGTTTTGAGTTCAACAGGAAAATCTTTCATTGAAAAATCTGCGAAGTTAAGATGCAAACCACGGTTTATTTCTTGTAATCTTTAACCAGAACCATACCTTCACCGATCACATTATCCGTTAGAGTTAGATGAAACAATATACTGTAATAACTGTCACGGCCTGTGATGATATAAATTCTTATCATTCTGTCAATCAAGGTCTGTAGGGCAGGCTGAACGAAGAGGAGTTAATATTTCGCGTTATATCGTCATTCCAACACTTATTTCGAAGCGTCTTTCACAAAATGGAGATGATCCTATCATTCGTCTTATCCGATCGCTCGAGCTCTATGATATCAATTCTCTTTGCAGATAATGAATAAATTATCACTCAAGGAACTTGTTGCTTACTGCTAGGCATATAGGTCGTCGTTATTCTTGATGTTGTCGACGTTGTCGATGTTGTCGTTATTTTTGATGTTGTCGACGTTGTCGACGTTGTCCATGTTGTCGATGTTGTCGACGTTGTCGATGTTGTCGTTATTGTTGATGTTGTTGACGTTGTCGATGTTGTTAATGTTGACAATTTTGATGTTGCCGATCGCATCGTTATTATAGTTGTTGAAGCTTTACGTAAGAATAAGCACAACATAATTAAGTCATCTTTTATTCAGCGCAATATCTCGTTCTGAGCACATTTATATAGTAGACATTTTACTTTTTGCCGAAGCGATTTTGGTTAGCATGAAGCATCTGTCTAATGGGCATTTCTCGGTTTGGAATATCTTCCTATAGTGAACGACTTTTCATAGTCTCGTATAGTGGTCTTAACCAAAACTGAATTACTATATAATGAACCCATCATGACTAGAACTCACGCGCAAGTACTTGAGGGTGTGGGGTTGACTAGATGTGGATATTCTTTTCGCCCCCGCCCAGCAATCCTCATCTGTACTCTATAAAAAAAAGAGTGCCATATAGAATTCGATCAATGGGCATCATTTAACAAACTTTTTAAAGGTTTCAGACTTTTGAACTAGAACCTTTCTATCCAAAACTTTCGATACAAAAGGTCGTCGGAAAGTTTGGAACCCTTAAAAGTTTCATAAAAATTGCACCCAATAAAAAAGGTTCTATCTGGTAATATTTTTCTAGAAAGTAGCTGATCAAGTCCACTAGCGCCTCATTCAACCTGGAAACGAATCGTACAACTTATTCACATTTAATAGAACAATACAAATTTTTGTTCATTCTCCTGAATACGACTGATGTGTGCGATAACACCACTTTTTTCCAGTCCCCAGATTTGACGACTCGACGCTTTTTGCTGAATCGGCTGTCAGCCCGAATTCCAAACAAGATTCCATATTTCTGTAGCGGACGTGAACTCTTTTGTCTCTTCTACCTGTCGTTGCCTTGAGATGTCCTTCAGACAGTCACACAATCTTGGTCAGCATGTGAGGATGAACATTGTTATAAGTATTTTCCTTAAAGTGCAAGTACTAGTACTCATTTAGACTACAGATACAATTCTTAAGTGTGTAGAAAAAGTGGTTCAGATTATTTGCTGGTAGTTAGCAACTGTTAAATTCATTGACATTGATTTTTTCATGCCGATTTTCAACTAGCAGGATTCTGATCATTAGCCGAAGAGTCTCGTTCGAATGTGAGTGAATAGAATACATACACATTCTCTCACAGCTACCCACCCTCCATATGCTTCAGGATGATGAAACTTCTAGCGTTTCCCATCCATAGAATGTAAACGATACATAGACGATGGTTTTGTTGGAAAGGATAATGACTTGATATAAATGAATTCAGATTTTTTTCTCCTTAGTACTTCGTGACACATTTTGGTGGCCTTATCCATTTTTGCGACATCTATGGATTAGTCATACGAACCAATTTTTTCGTTTCGGATATTTTCATCAATACTAAAAGAAACCGAAGCAGTTTCTCCTCGTTTTTAAACACTTAATAAGCCCGTTGGCATCAAACTCACATCCATTGTAGGTGTATCAGTGTGCATCGAACTGCATAGCTTTGGGCATTTAGGAATCTTCCTTTGGTATGGTACAATATGCTTCTTCCACTAGAGAATTGAGAATAACAGAAATTTAAAAAATGTCGAGTCTAGTGAATATTTTCTCATTACCAAATTGAACTTGTCCATTGGGCAGCCCAGATTTGAAGTCTCTCTCAATAATTAATTAATGACCTTTCGTTCATCGCAATTCTTGATACAAAAAGAATTGCCTTTTTTAACTGAAGAAATAATTTTTTTGAAGGAAAAATACGCACTATTAGTATTTTTCCTATGAAAAGAAACTAAAACAAGACAAAAGACTGATAAGATGGACATGTTGACGATATCATATTTCTTAAAGGATGATGATAAGCTGAGTACTCTAGCTTATGTGGTTTTGAAATGACAAAAGAGAAGTGATTGAATAGAGAAGGACATATCACTGTTGGACAACCTTTACATAGAGAGAAAAAATTGTTTTTAACAGCTCTTTGTGTGCTCAGGTCCGTTTACGAGCATCTGTGTGCCTTCTTGCTTATATTGGTGACAGCAGAGTTGAAGATATGTGTAATAAGACTCGAAAATTTGTTAGGAAGGCTTAAATAGATATTTTTTTGACCTTTGAATATTAAATCAATTGACGATAATCATTTGCTTGCCACATTCATTAAGAAAGCTGCATGCTTCGATAAGATCGAGGTCATTTAATAACTGCATCCAAAAAATGAGCAGAATATTAAAAAGAACCTTAGCAAAATCGTGATAAAGCTTACGTAGTTATAAATCGATTCGATAATATATATAAAGGGTGTCCCAGAAGTTCTGTTACAATTTTGAAATTTATTGTTCTCGTGTTCAACAAAAGCAAACTTTTTGAAATTTTGGCAGATTATTGTACATACTTAGTACTACATAACTACAAAGTTTCAAATCGATAGCTTGTATTATGGATGAGAACCAGTAACAATACTATCATATACTGTTTTTTCAATTTTCCTGTATTCCGGGTGTGCCAAAATGTCTAAATCTCTGCTTAGGTAGAGGATAAAATCTTGACCTTTGTTTAATAAGATGCGCCAAGAAAGTCTCTAAAAAAATTGTAATAACAGATCCCTATTGGCTTGTGTTAATGGTTTCTGCCACACTCAACATGAAAAACCTGCATGATAATACTACTTCTCACCATATTGTGCGTAATAAAAAATACTTGGAAGATCTTTTTGCTTTGCATGTATCTTAGCTTGAGAAAATGATAAAATCTTGATTTTTTTTCAAAAGATGCATCGTCAAAAGCTCTACAAAAGCTGTATGAACAAATTCCTATTGAAAAACAAAAGTCTTCCAAACCTTTTTTGATTACGCACAATATGATGAGAAGTAGTAATTACTATCATGTAGGCTTTTCATTTTGAGTATGGCAGAAATCGTCAAAAACAAGTCAATAGGGATTTGTTATTTCAATTTTTGTAGAGCTTTTCATGGCGCATCTTTTTAAAAAAAATTCAAGATTTTATCATCTACCTAAACCGAGATATAGGAGAAATAAAAAAATGATGCAAACATTTTGGCACACCCGGAAGACGATCAAAAAAATTGAAAAAATAGTACATGATAGTGTTGTTACTGGTTTTCATCCACAGTACAAGGCATAGATCTGAAACTTTGTAGTTATGTAGTACTAAGTATGTACAATAATCTGTCAAAGTTTCAAGAACTTTGCTTTTGTTTAACATGAGAACGATAAATTTCAAAATTGTAACAGAACTTCTGGGACACGCTTTATATATCACCATTGTCGTTGAAAGAAAACTTACTTGTACTGATGATTGAATTTTCCGAGGCCAACGGTGGGCATCTCTGAGGAGAGGCACGGTCAATCGGATAACAAACAGGAATACTGCATCGAGTGTTGTTGACACATACAGTATTGGGTACCGAACATGTCTTATTATCATTTTCACATGCAACCAAATCTTTACATGACGCAACTGTATCCGTACACATGCCTCTACCGGTCATTGCCATCATCAAGCATTCACAGTCGGGATTTGTTGAACATGCCGTTGCTTTTGCTTGACAGTATAGTGATGGGCAGCATCCGCACGAGGAAAGTTGTATACCCACCATGTCTTGGCCTATAGTGTATTTCATAAAAAAATATAGATTAAATTATAAAACACTTTTGGAGATAGAGATTTAAAGAAATCACTAGAAAAGTAAATATCAGAAGCTTTATGAGCTCATATAGGACGTTCATGTAAATGACTGAATAAGATCAGTTTTTCATACCTGTAATAATGCCAACAAAATATCTACAAAATGTTGCGTATCAAATCTTTGATTGATCATGACAGAATTACTTACAATGCTGCCACTACCTGAATCAGAAACCGTTTCATCGTCAAGATTAGAGAAATGTTATGTGACCGAAATGATTGCTGCTTTTATAGAGAAACGACTTCATTTCAACATATTTACTGGCATGAGTCAGAAAAGACTCAACAATAGTATCGATAGTTTTTATTCACATCGATTCGTAGGTTTTAGTAACAAATGTTTTAAACTCACTTGGGTTGTGGCATCACTTTCGTAAGCAAACGCTCTTCTTTCATTTTAACAGTTGATTAGATGCATTCGAAAAATAAAAATAATATTTGTTCCATAATATTTTCAAAAGCTTTCTTAGTCTACCCATGTGCACATAACCCGAAACACAATATTGATAAGAACAGAGTAACTAATAATTTTTTTGCAAGGCTTAGCAAAAGAGAAGTAATTACATTATGCAGAGTTGAGCAGCCTGAAGAAGTGTTTTTGCTTGGACGAAAGTATCAAAGAATACGAGCAGCAAATGCGACAAAAAGGAAGAGTTTGAATAGAAATATAAGTATTCTCAATAGATGACTCGATAGTAAACATGACAAACTCAAAAGAATTGTATTTTGTTTTGCTGAAGAAAATAAACTCATTTAAGTCGTTTTTCCTGTTCTGGGATGGCTTGAAATTACAATTGCTAGTCTTTTAGTTTCTCAAATTTTAATATGCGTTTTGTGATATCTATGAAGTCCATCACATACATGCCAAGGAGGTGTGGGTGTGTGGTTGTCGGTGTGGGTGGGTGTGGGTATGGGTGTGGGTATGGGTGTTGGTGGGGGTGGATGTGGGTGTGGGTATGGGTGGGTGTGGGTGTAGGTATGGGTGTGGGTGATATGAAAAGAGACTCACACACTTACACTCACTCATACCCACACGCCAACAGCCCCCATTCACAGCTTCCACCCATAGCCCACAGCCCACACCCACCCACAGCCCACAACCCACAGCCCACAGCCCCCACCCACAGCTCCCACCCACAGCCCACAGCCCACACCCACCCACAGCCCGCAGCCTACAGCCCACATCCACAGCCTACAGTCCACAGCCCACATTCACCGCCCACACCCACAGCCTACAGCTCACAGCCCACATCCACAGCCCACAGCCCACACCCACAGCCCACAGCCCACACGCCCACACAGTCCACAGCCCACACCCACACTACATCGTACTGCTCTGCACTATGTCTTTCTGCTCACCAC